TCGACCGCTCCTTCTCTGTACTTAATACCTCTCACTTAATTTCTTTTTATTCTATAGGTTTGTTTTACTCTCGACTCGCGTATAGTACGTACCGACGACGACTACTGACCACCACCACCTTCCCGAGACTGTCGGCCAAATCGCGGTGCACGCCAAACTTGCGGTGGCAATTACCTTTACCTATAAATGTAATTAACTCTAACCGCCCCGCTCTGACGCGATGCGCTACCGCCGTCGTGCGACCGACCGTTACGGTTTTATTTAAGGCATAAATCGTCGTGTTTTGTGTATGATAATAATATAAGTAGGTATAATATGCACATGTGTGTGTACTGTGTGTGTATCGGCATTTTTTCTAGGGATCGTGTATATAGACCCGAAAACATTCGTAACGTGTAAATTTAGACAATTTTTTAACTCATAGTGACTCGATATCGTTGTATAAAAGACAAATCCATCGACTGATCCATTGATGTATCTAAGGATAATACCTTTTTGTGTTCCACGGTTAATTATATACTTATATATTGTTTGTAATATTATTATTTTTTACTTTTTTAACTTCTATTTAAGTTAGAAATTTTTTTTTTTTTTTTTTATATATATATAATTAATCTAAGTTGGAAGTTACCCTTCTTCGTCCGACTTTTTTTTTGTCCTTTTGTACCCGTTTCTACTATTATTTTTATATAAATATTATTTTTATTCTTTTTTTAATTATTTATTTTTTATTTTAATTTGTCACCATCCTGGGGGATATTTTAATCAACAATGAACATCACTTTTGCGTTAAATATTTGTACTAACTTTTTTTTAATTTTTGTAAAAAAAAAAAAAAACAAAAAACAAAAAGACAATATTATACAAACGTACCCGTCCTCGAGGATAAGCGTGTTAGCAGCATATTTCTAATCCAATTTGCGTTGCTCGTACGTTTCTTCCCTCTCCTCCCTCTTTACTATAAACATTTCGGAGTCGCTCACGCTTAATCGAAAAACAATACAATCACTCTTGCAAACATTTGGCTTTTTCTACGCTTGTATAGGTAAAATAATATGTTATACACACAAATCGGTCGGTTGACCGAAAAATCGTTTCGGCATATCATATTATATAATAATAATAATTTAAAAAAAGATAATTGTTATCCTCGAGCAACATGTTTCTCTTTTGTACATAGTATTTAATAATTAGGACACATTTATTATTAAAAAATAAAATTGTATAAACAAATGAATGACAAATTCTGCGAAGTGATTATTTAAAATTGTTGACGATTTGATAGTTGAAAATTGTATTGTAAAAAAAAATTCTATTTGAAGGTAAAATTAATTAATAATAATTTGTATTTGTGTCACCAGCCAAAAGGTCCATTATTAGAATATCTAATTGATTACATTGTTTATAGAAATATTAAAGAAATAAAGATAATATGGATTTGACAATTTTATTCATTTGTTTGCTTGATTTTACATTCCAGGTATCTAGGTTAGTCACTATTAAAACGAATAAAATAAGATTGTATTCCATGACAAAAATTCCTCTTTTCTCAAGCATGTTCTGTTGGAACAAGTATTGACAAAAAATAAGAAAATTGTGTTGAAATTGTGTAATACGTAGTTAGTATAATTTTTATTTAATATTTAAAAAAATATTTAAGTTGTACAATCATCAACATGTAACCGAGTAATAATTAAAAAAAAAAAAAAAAATCATGAACTTCATTTGTTAACTGATAGATAATTCATACAGAATTTAAATTTTATTTACATTCTCTTAACCTAACCAACTCAAGTAAATTTTTTTCATTAATGTATCCCATTTATGATTTTTGTTGTTTCAATGAGCATGATGTAAAATTATGTGATCAGTTAATGTTTGGCTCAAATAGCCATTATTCATATAATGCTAACACAAGCATATTTTAATGGTCAATAAACATGATAGAACCTATCAGAGTAAGAGTTTTTAAGGTTTACAGATCATGATACACATGCGATAAACATACTTGTTAAAATTACTACTAAAAAATATTTCAAATGTTAAGTAACTATTTGAAAAACTAGCAAAATTTGTTAATAATAAAAAAATATATATATATAATAAATTTGTAATTATTAGGATAGTAGTAGATTAAAGTTAGTACTGATGAAATTGATAGAATTAGTTCTAATTATACTTTTTCAGTTTGAAATACAAGAACCAAAAAATAATTCTGAACAGATGTATCGACCCATAAAGATACTTTTAATACTCATTTCTAATAACTAAATTATTAGTAGTTTATTTTTTAACAGTAGTACAGTATTTTTAATTCGTGTATTATTCCATTCATTATTATAACATAATATATTTACATTATTATTATTGTTTTAAAAGTGAACATTAGTATTGTAGAGTAAATATGAATAAGTTCATAGTATAAATAGTTCTTAAGTTTAAATGTTTTGTAGAAGTCACTGTGCATCTGGAATGATAACTATAAGTAACACAACCTAGGATATTTCAATAATATATTTTTCGAATAATAACAACAAATTGTTATCATATATTTAAACATCCAATTTAGTCAAAATTGAACTTCGAGTAAAGTGACTAAGTTAAATTTCTTATTGTTAAATTCTAGTAAGAAAAAAAAAAAAATGTGTCATATCATTGGAAAACAAATACCTAACCTTACACTCAACATCTATAAAGCATAACTCTGTCACCCAGTACACGATATAAAAAAAAAAAATATATGAATATCGCACAAGTGTTCTTTTCTTCTGTGTACCTATGTGTAAGATCGATAATATTTTATTATGCGACCAAAAATTGCTATGTATTATTTATTCATTAAATGCATGTCTATAAGTACAGTTTGATGTACAAATTTAAATTTTCTATTATTTAATAAATAAAAAAACCGATTACCTTGTCATAAGTTTTGGTGTGCGCGTACTACTATATGAGTCCAATAGCTAAAATCAATACGAGTAAGCTAGAATCTTTGGTCGTAATCCCGTGAAGCAGGGACTAAAATTATGTGTACGTATGACACACTTTGTGTAGTAAGAAATTCCAAGTGTGCAATACGAAATTAAAAAATGTGTTATGACCTGTAATAACTAGTAACTTTTTTTACAGTTTGTTCTCCATTAATTGAACAATTATTGTTGGGAAACAGATAAGAATTTAATGTATATTGTATACCATCTAATATCTATGTTACCAATATTTTAATTATTTGTTTACTTTCTTATATTATCCATAAATATTGTTATTTTTAGAATATTTATTGTTTTATAAAAACACTGAAAGTAATATTAAAAATAAAATGAACGCTCGTTTTGAAAAGTTAGAGAAAAGAAAGAGTCCCCCACGGTAACTCCAAGTTAAATGTAAAATGTGTAATACGAAAAAATATATATTTTAGTCTCTGCCCCGAAGTAGGGGTTCACACTCCGGATATCTGGCGTCCGTTTAAACCATTCTATCAAATAAATAAGACTCGAGATCCAGAAGAGCTTCATCGCTGTAAATCTATTTTTGACAAATTGTAATAAACGTGTGAAATAAATTTTATACTTAATGTACAATACATTTTCTTCTTTTTTAGGTTTACAATCACGTACGAAGTTTGACCACCACTGCCGCTTTCACCGTCACCCAATCGTCCTGGCATTGTATGCGGTTCTATTTTTCCATTAAGTTCGTCACTTCCAGCATTTCTAAATCTTTTTATATCTATCTCTTAACTATTTTTATTTCGTTGGTTGCCATTGTATTACTGCTCTTAAATTGGTTGTTCCTACTTTTCGTATATCGTGACTAACCTTCTATGTATTGTACGCACAGATATATAATAATATATATCTTTGGATTGTACACGACCCTTTGGCATAACTATTAAACACGATTTGTATAAGATTTATCACTTCGAAACTTCTAAGTCCCAAACATTTTTTTTATTGATAATCTATCTTCAGTTGTTAAACTTTTTAACTTTTCACTGGTTTTTACTATCTCCAACTTTGATACTCTTTTCTTAATTCGGTAGTAGCTCTATGATTAATATCATTGGTTATGGAGTATAATAGACTACAGATTACAGAATTAACTATAAAATAGTGTTAAATAAATGTTAATACGTAGGTATAATTGTATAAAATATGTAATATGTATAATAAAATCATTATTTTTACTTAGATCTGCTGTCAATTTGGATTTTAACATTGCAGCAATCAATCGTCAACAAAATACTGCCCCACACATACGACGATAATTTTTTTAAAACGCTCGATCCATTTCATACGTAACTACTATTATCCACTTACTAGTTAGTACTTGATAGTAATAATTGTGACATTGACGATTACAGCAGCGAGACACGCAAGTTTTACGGGTTTTATAATTACGCAAAATTACCACGTTTATATACAATATTAATTGCAGCGCATCAGATTAATAATAATAATAAGTATTTACAATTATTATTCGTTTGATTTTTAATACAGTAGTACCAAGTACCATAAGTAATAAAATGATTGATAATATAAAAAAAAAGATTTTTCAGCTTTTATACTAAAAATAAATTATCCTCGTGACTATATGCAGGAGCCAGGAACTTAGTCTCATCTCGTTATCAACCAGAGCATGTTTGTGAGGCTTACAGAGAATATATGCAACAAACAACATTGCAGACCTCTGTGTTGGCTCTTTTCGTACTGTCTATAATCACTTAGAGTAAGCGGAAACCAGAGGACCGCACAAGTGCACGCGAAAGTGACTTAATTCCTAGTCAAAAATCTTTGAATTGCCTCGTTATATGAAGAATCTAATGGTTTTAAAAACGTATGGGACACACAATCAATAGATAATATTATAAAATAGAAGACGCAAGAGTTAAGTATATTATTATTCTTTGATTTATTTTAAAAATGAATAATGTTAGTATAGGTGCAGTATATAATAATATAATAATATAAAATCTGTGTATAAATATGAACTTTGAAAAAAAAAATACATAATATAATAATAATGTCGCATTCCCGCGTATAATAAAATTGAACGAAATAATTAAATAATCATAGTAACACGTCGTAGTAGTAGTAATGTAGAAGTAGTACGCAGATATAGTGTGCGTGTGCGCGTTTTACTTTGACGACTGTTGTCTATTACATATGCCTCGAGTTGCCGAACGATCCCAATCCCGACTGGGAAGCTCCTTTGTTGTATCCCATTTGTAGGTTGAGGTGGCCTTCGGATGCTCTCAACTGGTCTTCGGTAAATTCTCTCTTGTTAGCTTCAGCCATTTTAGGTCCCAATGCCGGGCCCGTGTACTCCGGATGCTTTTGGGTCTGCGTAAAAAATACATGAGTATTACCCATTATTATTATTATTATTATTTTACCTATTTTATCGGGGGAGGGGGCAATTTTACCTCGCTGACATTTTATTATGAGAGCAAAGATATGACTATGAATATTTTTTGATATTCACGTTATTATTATTATTATTATTGATAATGAGTTATAAATATTATATCGGTACACTTAAATGGTCAAAATTGTAATTATTATATAATCACAAACTGTACTCAAAAACTTTTCGTGGAGAGTTAAATATTATTCGAAACAAAGATCGTGTAGAATAATTAAAATGCTAGCATGATTGCAAATCAATATGGCTAAAATTTTGTTTCATGCCCAACTTTAGGCCCACGTTATAAACTATGCGTGTGTATACTTACAATGCGAGCGAGGGCGTATAGGCAGAGCGTCACTTGTGGTATATTCCTACGTTCGAACAAATCGGCCGTTTGGAAAATTTCCTCTTCCGGTACACCGTACTTTTTGATGGCCGCTTGAAACCTATAAAATTAATTTTAATTATAATATGATGCGCATAAACGTATAAGATAGAATAAGTTCAACGTCTTATATGTATAAAAATCAGATATAGTATTTGTCACATTTCCTATATATATGGAATATAGATTTCATACAATATACACCGAAGTACTCCCAAAAACATTCTGCTTCTTGAATAAAAAATTAAAATTTATGTAATTGCTGTTCATTAAAGTAAAAAATTTCAAAAATAATATAATTATCAAAAATTATGTTTTAGCAAACGACTAAAACATTAACCTTCAGAAGAGAATTTCACAGAAGATACTATTATTCGGAAAGTATGGATTAGGAATGAAAAATTTAAATAAAAATGTATACGTTTTTAAGGAATGGCGTATCAAGTAGGTATATCGTATACCGTTACATACTATTTTTATCGAATCACCGTGTACCTAGAGTATAAAATAACAATCCTCGTAAGAATAATTTTATTTGGCGATTTTATTCGTTTTAAAACGTCTTGCTTATTATATTAAAATAAGCACATCTTACATACGTAATACTCTTATTTTAAATCATTTACGATACTTAACAATAATTCACATAAATTATTTTTGTTTCTAGGAATACATTGCATATTTTATAAATATTATTTTTTTATCTTTTCTAATATCTTAGCAATTGAATATAACAACAACTATTTATATTTTATACTAATTACTCAACGTTTGTTGTTTACATAATTCGTAGAAACTTTATACTATGTACATGTTCATCAGTCATCGATGAATTCACAAGAATTTTAAAACTGACGTGATAATTTCGTTTTTGTATGAAAAAATAAATAAATAACTAAAGAGGACGCTACGCATGTCAAATTTTTGTTCAGTAGAATAAATTGTGTAAGTTTAATTTAAATATTAGAGTATAATTACCTGTTTTATCAAACTTAGATTAGAATATTATCTATTATCTTTTGTCAGATTTGTATGATACTTAATTTTTTTTGGTTGATTATAAGCGTTTTGAAACATTAATATTTTACACACTTATAACTCATTTAAAAATATTATCATTAATAGTAGATAAATTAAGTTACCCATCTACGTCGTTTATCACGAATTGTCCCATTTTTACAAAATTGGTAAGTGCCTCTACCACAAAGACTGATAAAAAATAGCAAAATGTCCCACCTTATTCAAAAAAATATTATAAACGTACTTCATTAACATTTACGCCTTAAAACGATCATTAACTATTGAAATTCTAATAAAATATAAATAAAAGATTTGAGTGTTAGATAATCAACTTTAAAAATAGTACCAACTACCAGATTGAAAGTGTCCTAATAAACTTGTGCTCAATGTGCTCTAATATATATATATAATTATAAATTTACTGCACATTACTTAAAATTCCACTCAAAGCTTAGCGCTCATTCCAATCCACTAATTAAAAGTATATTCTCGACCTTAATCATTCCTAGAAGATTAAAAAGGCAATGGCCAAGAGATAAATATAAAACTAATTTCTTATCACGTGGCACTGCTGAGAGCACGGTCTTAGAAGATAAGGTCGGGACTCTGCTTATTATTGTGTCCGCTTAGCGAGGACATTTTAGTACTTATTTAATCCGCTATTTTCGTAGTGTCTCTGTTCCAACTTTCTGAATTTTACTGTTTACCAACTTATTTATCATCGCTCATTGAGTATGCAGAGTGGCAAAAATGTGATTAATTTTTAAAAAAAAACCTGATTACTAAAACACCAATCAATAATTAACTATAAGCAAATTCACAGATAAATAAATATATTGATGATAATGATTTATTTTAATAATTAACCATATTATATATTTTATAATAATTTTACTATTTACACTTTACAGACTTACAGAATAAGTTTTAAGTCATATACTAAGTTATGTACTACCTATGTAGAATTAACTTTGCAATTCTTTGTCATGACTTATATTTACCGATTTACTATCCATGAGCTTAAACACAATAGAATTAGGTTTAAGCCTTAGTTTAGACCAGTGTTTCTCAACCTTTTTTAAGTTACCGCCTCCTTGAGTGTCAATAAATTTTTTAACGGCCCCTACAATGTGAGAATTCTATAATTAAGGGTATTTGGAAAATTTAAAAGAAAAAATTGAAATTATCTAATAATAACTCATGTTTTTATTTATTTTTTATATTTAATATATTTTTTATTTACAGTACTAGTATTATGTAAATTAATTTAAAAAAATAAATATTGATAAATAAATAAATAAAAATTAAATTAATTATTTAAAAAAATGTTAGTTCACCGCTCCCCTACCGCCCAAAACTAATTCATTGCCTCTCGGTGACACTTCACCACCCACTGGGGGGCGATATTGCCCCGTTGAGAACCACTGGTTTAGACAAGTTCATCTGTATAAAATTATATTTAAAACAAAACATTTTTAAATATCTTTAATACAATATGTGTAATAACCAATCAGTCAATGACATTTTTTTTTAATATTTACTATTTGTATATAGGTCAAACAATAAGAAAACAAGAAAGACATTTTGTAAATTTGATACTCACAGAAAATATAATATTTCCACTATGATCTCTTTTAATCACTTTTCGTTCTATATCATTCATAATTAAAATCATTTTCACAAATAACAAAATTATTTTTAAGTTTGATGCCAAGATTAGTTTTTCCACTGGGCTTTAAGTATATCATTTTTGGGACAATTAAAAACAGGTAATTTTAAATTGTTTTGCAACCAAAAAACAAAATAAATTGGGCATATTTAAGTTTAAAGAAACAATTCTTAAAATCAATCTAAAATTATAACAATATGATGTCATATTAACAACTGACAAATATGTTTGTGAAAACAAAATTATAAAATTTCTATTTCCATGTATGTATACTAATTACAAATGAAGATCTATTTATGGTTCTATATTCTTATACATATAGGGCTATTCACCAAACATGCTCACGCCTTTTTTTTTTCAATAATGCAGTTATTCAAAATTTTCAAATTAATATTCAATTTTTTTTTTTTTTGAATAACTGCATTATTAAAGAAAAAAGGCATGAGCATGCTTGATGAATCGCCCTGTTTTAATAAAACCATATTTTTAAATTCTTGAAATACACTACTTAAGGAGTGTTCTATGGAGATAGAAACTTCTATTTTTTAAATGAGAACACCCCTTCTTTTTAACTGTAAATTATACAGTATATAATTTTCTGAATTTTTTGTTGTTTTTTTTTTTTTGACGTCTAGTATCAACTCATACGGGAAGTTTTTTATTTCATTATTAAATCAAAAATTGGGGATGAACATAGTTGGTGAATCATTCTGTACATAATATTTCTGTTTTCTAATTTTAATTACAATAATAATTATTTATTGTGATATTAATTAATTTTTATTTGCCGCTAACATATTGAAATTTATACATAACCTTAATAAAGTTCAGATCTAGGCGCCTAACAAAATAATGGCAAAAAACTCAACTAAAATATACTCTCTAAGCGACCTAATTGATTAACGTTGTTAAATAGGGAAGTGTCCCGACCTTATCTAAGACCATGGCTGAGAGCTTTCCTACTCTATAATTAATGTTATTTTTATGTAACTTACTTATTATACCATGTTTGTATAAATTATTAATATACTATTTTAAGTAAAAAAAAAAAAAAGTAATAATAAGTTTATTAATTTAAAATTAGCAATAGAGCCCAAGTGATTACTAGTTCTTTTTCATGTAAAACTATCTAAAAAGCAATTTATGAACACTGTGGCATCTTCTAAAATCAATTTCATTTCACACGTCGTTACAAACAATCAATCAAATGTATGTAATATGATATAATATAACCATATAACCATGTATGTAGATGTTACTTACCTATATGTCAAGACTTTTTTTTTTTGAACATCTGTTCTAAGCTACTACTACCGCCATGCAGTTAATCATACAATTATTATACTGAGATATGTATATAAAACAACTTACCGCTGAATGTTTTCCATCAACTGGAAGTTTGAACCCTTAGTCTGTATTTTTTTCACCGATCCGGGAGCAATCTTGTTAATAAGATTGCAAAGCACGACACCGTCTTTCAGATAATCTTCGTACGAGACGTTGTTAGGAATCGCCTCGCCCAAAACATTACCAATCCATTCTAACATTTCTTTTTCTTGTTCCTTGTTCTTAATCTGCCAAAAAAAAATTATTTTTTAATGAGATTTCGGTATATAACATACCAAAGTAGGTACTCACATAAAAAATCGCATTTCAAAACAAATTATATTACACATACACGTTAAATATTTATTATGAAAATTTGTTTGATGAAACACAAAATTAATCGTTTTGACGAATAAAAATTAGATGGTTATTCCGTAAATCATTCAAATTATTTTTATTGACATTATAAAAAAATAACTTTATTTTACTGGGTACATGGAATAAACTAAATTTGGCTAAATAGAACCTGCATAGCCTTGAACTAATATTATATATATAAACTAGATACCTAATAGATAAAAGTATTTTTTTCCATAGTGTCCTCGATCGAAACGATTTAATGAGATTTTTTTTATTATTTGCGATTATATTTTTAGACCATGCGCGAGTATTATATTATACAACATATTATGAGCCCGTTAACAAAAACAGACTTTAGCTTTGCTTTTTTGGCAGTCGTTCAAAGGTTGATATATATAATAAATGTATATAAATGTTGGTTTCTATGAAAAACATAATAAAACGCATTATATAATAAACATAATAAATAATATGATATGTTGACATAATTAGCTACAAACATTGACCCCCTCTATTTATTCTTACCTGCAATTTACTAATTTTACACAAAATCAAGATATCATATATATTATATCTATTAATTCGGAATTTGAAGTAAACCAATAGGCAATAACACAGTATAAGTATACAATCCTAGTCGCCAAGGGTAAACGAACAGTTATTGAACCACAAGATAATTTTATACACGGCCCCCAATTTTTTTTTTTTATTTACGGTACTATAGTCTATAGTCAAAAAATAATCAAAATAACTCCAAAGTTAAATACAAAATATTTTCAGACATAATTAAATGTAACATAATGTTAAAATATTTTACAAAAAAATTAATACTTAAACATTTTTAATTCATAACAAAAAATTGCAATATTGAAAATTTGAGGTTTTTAGCTACAAAATATATGATCTGTATTAAAAGAAATTATTATAATATTATTCAAATAATCAATAAAAATACTGCAAATAGATCATTATCTTCAATTTAATCAAATAAAATTTAGATTTAAAACTTTTCAAATATTTAACGTTAATGTATTCGTAATATTATATCATTCTTAATAATAGTATAGGTATAAATATTGCCGTAATAAAAACTAACCCATGCAAATCGGTGAAAATTATTTATTTTTAATTATTTCGTTAGGAATTTTGCTGAATTCAAAATATTTATATTATAAACAATTCGTTATACGTAGAAAACGATAAAAAAAATTTCCCACAAAAATACTGAGTAACTACAATGCTCTAGAGGGTATATAGTATTATTACAAAACGCTCGTACGACGATAATTTAAGATGAGTGGTAATGGATGAATGGTAGCGAGACGGTGATAGTTCTCTGTGGCGCGCGACTAAGGAGGTGCGCCCGTCCGCCTTCAAGTCGCCACTACAATATCGTAAAAATCGTTGTAAAAGAGGCGAATGCGTACATATCTATAAAAAAAATATTATGTTGTTCGCAGTTATATATATATTATATACACGGTGTTTCATAGAAATATGATGATTTTACATTAAAAATACATTTGAAAGTGTCTGATCATTGGGATACACTCTGTATATATTGTAAACGTGAAAATACCAATTTATAGGTAGTAATTTTGTAAGGCGAACACAATGCACTGTTAAACCAGCAAAAAGTAATATCGTCGCGTTGTGTCATGTTTTTAAAGAAATGCGATTGCATCCGATGATTATTTTTTGATAGTAATAAGGTCAGCGCCACGGCACAAAATCACACCAAAATTATTACTCACTATACGTCATCATTTATTATATACTATCTCTAACTGATGAATTCGCACAGTCCTTAGAATGGCGCCATTAGTGGGGCGCCGAATGGTAGGTATAACTTAACTGATCCATTACACTGTTTTGACAAACATAATATTTTAAAATACACTAGATAATATTATAACAATGAAACTTTGCCCCACCTCTCGCCGATCATTTCTCAACTCTTGACAGTGTTGAATCGTCAAATATTAATGATATTTAATGGGTATTTATTTTTTATTTTTTTTTTGGGATGAATAAAAAGACCGATGCTCGCCCACAGCAATATTATATTGTACAGTCAAGTCTTATGAATGGTTGCAGTTGTCAAGTAAATAGTAGTGTGGTCTCGTTTCGCAGATATTTTTGACGTACATGAATAATTAGTTTACGCAAAATCGTGATGTAAAAGCGAAATGCTGCCACCCATACGTGATATTATGCCATAAAAAAAAATTGGCAAGTCCCCAAAGAATTACAGTGTACAGTATATATATACCATGCACATTAGATTTTTCGGCATTTAAACGGAGTTTTTTTTTATTATTATTCAAATGTGGCGATTCATTTTGATCTTTTGATGTTGGTGGATGCGACGTGACTGACTGTTGAGGAATACCTCGATTTTCCGTTAAATAATTATATTAGACAGATAGAACGATATTCTCAAACGTATTCGGTGTGGATTTTTATTGGTCTCGTGAGCCAGGGTGTTGACGTGTTTCGGAAGTCATTAAAACCGTGGCTCCAAACTAAAACTTTTGAAATATAATAGTTGTATTTTTAAACGTGACTTCGTCGCTTGTTTTACAGGGAGTGACTAAGTCTTTATTTTCACATAGCTAAACAAACAATATAACGAACGAGTATAGAAAAAATAACAATATTTTAATCAGTGCAGAGCAGAGGCCGCATATTTCTCTTTCTGTTGAATTCGTTGTATCATGGCATTTATCCGAACGTTTCTAATATAAAAATTTATTCGTTATTTAAATCAGAAGCTCCAAAAAAACTGAAGATCACGTTAAGTTTTGAAATATTAATATAATCATGTATTGTATATATTTATAAGAAAATATATTACGTGTATAAATACAAATATAATATGTTTTTCATTAAACTAAATAATAATATGTGTACATTGTACATTATTGATATCTAATTTAATTTTAACATTAATTATTAATTTTCAGCAACGATTACAAATGCACCAGTGATGTATTAACATGACACTATCAGACTAATTAAAAAAAAAAAAACTCTTTACTAAATTATTAGTCTCCAAAACATTTTCCATACCGTATAATGAACAATTTAGGAATCTCTGATTTAGTTATTATAAATCAATAGAGTAAGGTAATATTATTTTTGGACGCATGTAAACTCCACCACTGAAAAAAATTAGGTAAAATTGAGTTCATGTAAACTCCGCCAATCAAGAAAACCAAGTAGTAGCATAAAATTGATATCACATAATATCATATCGTTCACATTAAATATTTAAATCATAGTAAAAAACCATAATAAATAATCGTTATACCTAATAATCCAAAAATATATAGGTATGTCATGTTTTGTAAATATTCTAAGTCTTGTATTGCTCCATTAGTATAATATCATCGCAATAGATTTCAACGTATTTAATGTGAGAAGGCACGAGGCAATGTGAGCACCGAGCAGCTTAACAAAAAAAAAAAACTGACGAAGTTTACATTAGACCTTTTAATCTTAACCTGTATTCTGACGAAGTTTACAATCGCCCGTTGTTTTTAGGCCGATAGCTATTAGATATACATACGCTGAAGCACAAAAACTACCTTTCGTTTTCATCATAGTATTGTATAATATACGTTACATATAGTCATTACGAATTGTCCCAACTTCAAACACAGCAGTTAACCACTGTACATTAAATAACAATATGTAATTTTCAAAACGAACTTATACATATTTTAAACAATATAGATCATACAGTGGACTCTCTGTAACTCGTACCTCGTACACCGAATATAAAAAAAAACCTGTCGAACGCCTTAACACTTGATTAATTTTGTTATCACGAATTACCTCTCCCAACTCATCTCGAACTTACGAGTTATCGAGATCGACTGTAGTCAAACAATAATCTACACACGACGTACGGGTTCGGACTTCGGACACAGTTCAAGTTTTGTAAATTCTTACCGGCATTTTTTCCGCGTTCGTTTCGTCCGCCGCTGCTTATAATAATATTATTGTTATGAACTCTGCGATACTATTGTTGGTTTTCTAGCGCGCGACCACGTGTGTATGATGCTGTGCAGTTTGCCCGCGATATTAAGACGTCCGGCGATTGTTGTCTTCGCACACCTCACACTCACTTCTCTACAGCACGATGTATTACGGCAATAACATAAAATTGTGAGTGCGCTATGAAAATGGCAGACGGATCGGAAGCTGCGATGCGTATGCCACCGGTCCCACCAAGACTGGTCTTTATACGCAGAGCGTGTGCCCGTCCGCCGTTACCCATTTATTTTTAGAAGCTGTTTAATTGCCCGTCGAGATCACAGTGGAGATGACTTGTCGGCAGAGAACTCGCGCCGCGCCGCCAGTGATGTATAATAATAATTAATACCCATGTATATGAGGTTATCCATTTATAACCGGCCACTCACTCATTTTCCGAGTAAATATCAAGTTCACTATAACTTAAAAAAACTATTTGTTTAAATACTTGATTATTTTGTATACAAACAAACATATATAAATAAGCAGATACCATTTTTCTATCAAGTTAAATATAAAAAAAAAGTAGGAATTTTCTCTAAGAAACCTGCAATTAGTCTTCCTCCCCTTTTCTTAACCAAATCATATTTTTTTACATTTGATCAAATTCACTTATTGTGTTATACATAAATCCGATTAGTTCGTTAAAAAACGAAACAGCTTGTATTTCGTGTCGTTGGACGCATCGAGGTGCGATAGAAAGCATAATATTATTAGAATAGAAATCGTCAAAATTACGTAAGACACAACATTATGCTTAGAAGAGACAAATTAAAAATTAACGAATACAACTTTTTCAATTCACAGTTTTTAATTATATTTTCGAACTATATAATAAGATACATCC